TCCTGTAAGATAATTCAGACACTGAAGAATAAACCCTATCTGGAGTCAGAGGTAATCTTCTTACATTTATTTTTCTCTTTAGAATTCTAGGAAGGTGGTAAGGTCCCATATTAAGCATTGCACTAGAGGACAGTGAGTAAACTCATGGTGAAGAAATTGAGAAAAGATTTGATTAAGTTAAAAAAAATTGGACTGGAAATTTAGAATCTCTTGAGCAGATGATTTAAAAAAGACCAATATTGTGACAAAATGTAAGAGCAAAGACAAAATTAAATTAGATCTAAAGCACAGTTTGTTTGTGAAAGAGAACGCTAGAGCCCCTTTTGCAGTTCATCTGATACAGTGTTACAACTGAACAATTATCTCACCATCTTTTGATTCTACTTGCCATAACTTTTCATTATAGATAATTTGGTTGATGAAACAGATTCCCCCCAAATATTTGAAAGGCAGCTGTAAATAGGTTCCTGGAGGTGTGCTGTGCTAATTCGCTCAGTTGTGCCTGACTCTTTGCGACCCCATGGACTGTAGCCCGCCAGGCTCCTCTGTCCAAGGGGATTCTCCAGGCAAGTATACTGGAATGGGTTGCCATACCCTCTTCGAGGGGATCTTCTCAACCCAGTGATCAAACCGAGGCCTTCCGCATTGCAGGCAGATTCTTTACCATCTGGAGAAGAGCATGGCAACCCACTCCATTATTCTTACCTCAGTTCAGTTCAGTTCAGTTCAGTCGCTCTGTCATGTCCAACTCTTTGCGACTCCATGGACTGCAGCATGCCAGGCCTCCCTGTCCTTCACCAACTCCCGGAGCTTGCTCAGACTCACATCCATCGAGTCGGGGATGCCATCCAACCATCTCGTCCTCTGTCGTCCCCTTCTCCTCCTGCCTTCAGTCTTTCCCAGCATCGGGGGCTTCAAATGAGTCAGTACTTCGAATCAGGTGGCCAAAGTATTGGAGATTCAGCTTCAGCATCAGTCCTTCCAATGAACACCCAGGACTGATCTCCTTTAGGATGGACTGGTTGGATCTCCTTGCAGTCCAAGGAATTCTCAAGAATCTTCTCCAACCCACAGTTCAAAAGCACCAATCCTTTGGCGCTCAGCTTTCTTTCTAGTCCAACTCTCACATCCATACATGACTACTGGAAAAACCATAGCCTTGACTAGACGGACCTTTGTTGGGGAAGTAATGTCTCTGCTTTTTAATATGCTGCCTAGGTTGGTCATAACTTTTCTTCCAAGGAGCAAGTGTCTTATAATTTCATGGCTGCAGTCACCATCTGCAGTGATTTTGGAGCCCCCCCCCCAAATAAAGTCTCTCACTGTTTCCCATCTATTTGGCATGAAGTGATGGGACTGGATGCCATGATTTTAGTTTTCTGCATATTGAGTTTTAAGCTAACTTTTTCACTGTCCTCTTTAACCAAGAGACTCTTTAGCTCTTCTTCACTTTATTATTTTGTTTGATTTTGACAGGAAATAGCATTTATTGGTGAGCATGATTAAGAAGGGGACAGCGCTGATGCTCATGAGTGCAGGGCCCGCCATTTGTCCAGGGGACCACGATTAGGGATGTATTTGACCCCACAGCCGTCCAGGATGAGTCGCTTTTCTGCCACCATGTTTTCAAATTCATCCGCGTTGAACTTGGTAAATCCCCACTTCTTGGAGATGTGGATCTTCTGGTGGCCAGGGAACTTGAACTTGGCCCGGCGGAGGGCTTCAATCACATGCTCCTTGTTCTGCAGCTTGGTGAGGTTGGACATTATGACCTGGCCAATGTGGATCCTGGCCACTGTGCCCTGGGGCTTTCCAAAGGCACCGCGCATACCTGTCTGGAGTCTATCAGCTCCAGCGCAAGACAGCCTCCTGTTGACGCGGATGACATGGAAGGGGTGGAGCCGCACTTGGATGTGAAAACCATCTTTGCCACAGCTTTTCACCATGTACTTGTTGGCACAAATACGGGCAGCCGCCAGGGCTTCAGAGGTGAGCTGCTATACTCATCTGACACCATGTGGCCAAAGAATGGGAACTCATCCACTTTGGCCTTCTTACGCCCCAAGTCGAAGATGCAGATCTTAGCATCAGGGACACCTCGGCAGAAGAGGGACTTTGGGTTTGGCTTGTTCTTACAATACCGGTCACACAAGGCGGGGCGGCGGCCCGTGGCAACACCAGAATCTTCAGTGGCTTGCCTAAGGGAAAAAGCGCTTCTTCACTTTCTGCCATAAGGGTGGTGTCATCTCCGTATCTGAGATTATTGATATTTCTCCTGGCAATCTTGATTCCAGCTAATGGTACTCATTCAGCCTAGCATTTTTCATGATGTTCTCTGCATATAAGTTAAATAAACAGGGTGACAATATACAGCCTTGACGTACTCCTTTCCCTATTTAGAACCAGTGTCTTGTTCCATGTCCAGTTCTGTTTCTTCTTGACCTGCATAAACATTTCTCAGGAGGCAGGTCAGGTGATCTGGTATTTCCATCTCTTGAAGAATTTTCCACATTTTGTTGTGATCCACACAGTCAAAGGCTTTGGCATAATCAATAAAGCAGAGGTATATGTTTTTCTGGAACTCTCTTGCTTTATCAATGATCCAACAGATGTTGGCAATTTGCTCTCTGGTTCCTCTGCCTTTTCTAAATCTGGCTTGAACATCTGGAAGTTCACAGTTCATATACTGTTGAAGTCTGGCTTGGAGAATTTTGAGCATTACTTAGCTAGTGTGTGAGATGAGTGCAAATGTGCAGTAGTTTAAACATTCTTTGGTAGTGCCTTTCTTTGGGGCTGGAATGAAAACTGAACTTTTCCAGTCCTGTGGCCACTGCTGAGTTTTCCAGTATGCCAGTTTGCTGGCATATTGAATGTAGCACTTTCACAACATCATCTTTTAGGATTTGACATAGCTCAACTGGAATTCTGTCACCTCCACTAGCTTTGTTCACAGTGATGCTTCCTAAGGCCCACTTGACTTCACATTCCAGGATGTCTGGCTCTAGGTGAGTGATCACACCACCACAGTGTGGTTATCTGGGTCATGAAGATCTTTTTTTGCATAGTTCTTCTGTGTATTCTTGCCACCTCTTCTTAATATTTTCTGCTTCTGTTAGATCCGTACCATTTCTGTCCTTTATTATACCCATCTTTACATGAAATGTTCCCTTGGTATTTCTAATTTTCTTGAAGAGACCTCTAGTCTTTCCTGTTCTATTATTTTCCTCTATTTCTTTGCATTGATCACTGAGGAAGGCTTTTTTTTTTTTAAATCTCTCCTTGCTATTCTTTGGAACTCTGCATTCACATGGGTATATCTTTCCTTTCCTCCTTTGCCTTTCACTTCTCTTCTCTCAGCTATTTGTAAGGCCTTCTCAGACAATCATTTTGCCTTTTTGCCTTTCTTTTTCTTGGGAATGGTTGTGATCACTGCCTCTGGTACAATGCCATGAACCCCCATCCAAAGTTCTTCAGGGACTCTGCCTATCAGATCTAATCCCTTGAATCTATTTGTCATTTCCACTGTATAATCATAAGGGATTTTGTTTAGGTCATATCTAAATGCCTAGATAATCCTATCCTTGCCTAGAGAATGGCCAGAGGAGCCTGGTGGGCTACAGTCCCTAGGGCTGCAAAGAGCTGGACACAACTGAAACAGCTTAGAGAGGATCATTACTCACTCTGTAAAGTCTAGGATATTTTTGATAATATGAGGATAAGTATAAATACATTATCTATGACTGCCCCAAATAAATTGAATTTAGTTCAACAGGCATTTATTGACTACTCATTTTTCCCCTGAAATATGTCAAGGAATAATACAGAAGGGAGCCTGGATATAAGACACAATCTCTACCCTCAAAGGGCTTATAGGCTCATGAGCATAGACTGTAATAAAAGGCAAAATAAGGGATTTCAAATCAAATGCAGTAAATAATAGATTGAAGTGATAGGAGTTTTGAAGGGTGGTTATTTCTGTATGGAAAGTCGGGGATGGGGGTGCATGTGAGCTAAGGGAAAGCAGAACAAATCAGTCAACTCAACTTTGGTGACAGATACATCCAGACTTCACTCCAGTACCAAGAGAAAGGAAGACTGATCGGAGGAGCCCTGATTACAGAGGGTGTGGGCAAGAGAGTGAGGGTGTGGAGAGAGGGATCAGAGTAAATGAACATTTTTGTAAGGGTGTGACAGAGGGTCGGCATCCGGTGGGACTGATCTGGGCCAGCGTATGAAGAGAATACTGAACACTCAAACTGACGCTATTATTATTGTTGTTTTTGTTGTTATATTGAAGAATATACCTGTATGAATCACAGAAATCAGCAAAACTCCTAAGAAGTTGATGTCCTAAAATAGTAAAAGAAACCTGTGCATTTCCAAGTTCATCACACTTTGACAATCCTGTTTTTAAAAATTCAGATACCACAAAAGTGATATTGTTTGATGGATTTCCAATGAGGTAAAGGAAATGCAATGATTAATACTTAGAAATAAGAAAAAGGCACTTTTTATATTGCCTTTCTAAAGGCAATTTCTATATTTCTTCTCCAGACAAATGCTGTGAACCAACGCAAGCATTCCCTGAGACAGCATAGGCCACATTTATGATTTCAAGATTTTATTTTGCTTTATTTTGCAATTCTTTTCACCTAGGTTAATATGTTTGAATAATTGACACTCTATTAAAAGTATTTTTCCTTAGACTGCCATTACTTTTTTCTCACCCGCCCTTGACTTTTCCTCAGGGAAAGAAAGACAAGTCCAAATAGGCAATACAAATATCCCTCTTCATTTAACTACTTTTTCATTTAAATATATCCCCTGGAGAGGGAATGGCTACCCACTCCAGCATTCTTGCCTGGTGGGCTACAGCTCATGGGGTCGCGAAGAGTCTGACAGGACTGAGCAACTACCACTTTCACTTTTTCACTTTCATTTAAATATATATGCCATCTTCTTTCTGGAAAGAATTCAAGGACTCGGAGCCGTCCTTTTAAATGCGGCCCGGCGGTTCCGGTGCCTTTGGCTTCAGTTCAGTATCTGGCACATCACCTGCCTCTTGTTCTCGACTTCGGGCCCCGTTCTCTGCCGTCTCACGGAAGATGTTTTCCTCGGCAAAGTGCGCTGTGTTTTTAGCCGATTCCAGCAGACCTCCAGCCCAGGCCCCGTCTTTGTGTCTGCAGACAATGGGTGATTCCCAGACTCCGGGCGGCGTGGGGTGGGGAGCGGGGGGATACTTCCTACCGGACCGATCCCCAGACAGACTCGGCCCTCAACTCAGAGATTCAGAAGGCGGCTTGTCTGGGGCCTGGCGGCCCAGCCCCTCGGAGAAAAGCAGGTAGAGCCCGCCGGAGACCCAGCAGCCGTGCCCGCGTCGGGGCCTCCGCATCCCCGCCGCTCCCTTGAGAGGCTCCAGCATCCCTCGGCCTGGAGGTCCCGGGCGGCCGCGACTCCTGAGCCAGGATCCACAGTGGTTCCGCGGCCTCGATCCGCAGGGCTGGGTGGAAGAGCCGCGCCGCCGGATGTCAGGACAGCGGCTGCTAAGCGCCGGCCTCCGGGCAGCGAGCGCCCGGCTGCGCCCCGGGAGCCCAGCCCCGCCCGAGTGGGGACCCGAGGACGCGGCTGGCCGAGCGGATCGGAGGCAACCTCAGCCCGGCTCCAGCCGCATTCACCTTCCGGGTCGCCGCAGGAGAAAGCCGGGGCAGGGAGAAAGGGCGGCGGCAGGGCGGCGCGCCCTCCGCCCTCCGCGGCCCGCGGGCTCTCCCAGCGAGCCGGGGTTGCTCTGCGCCCTGGGGGCCTCAGCCCTGAGCCATCCGCCGCGCCCGCCGCAGCCCGGGCGCGGCCTTCTGGCTCTGTTAGCAGGCACAGCCCCGCGCCCTTCCGGCTCCCAGGCTCTGCTATTTCAAGAATTTTAGGGGGGAAACGTGCCCTGGCGAGGCGCGGCCTGGATGCAGGGACCTCTGTCCCCTAAGGGTCTCCCCAGCTTTGCTGATCGCAGGGGTGCAGTGGGGGGCTTTTTCTGTCTCCCAAATTTACTCTGAAATCGAGTCTCTCGGGAGTGAAGGTCCACATAATTATATCACATCCAGAGCAGTCGCGCTGTGGCCTGTATGGGTACGGGTACTCACGACGCAGACACTGAGATCCCCAGAGACGCCGAGTCTCTTGGCCCCAGGGCTTATGCCTGTTTTCTGGGTGCAACAGGCCTCTGAATTCCCCCCAGGAACGTCTCAGGAAGTAGGGGTGTGCGCGCGTGTGTGCAATGATTCCCATGACCTGACAGGTATGTTATTATTAATATAAGACCGAATAGACTTAAGTGCAATAATACATTGTGTACTTGTAGATACACCTTTCAAAATATATAATGAAATTTCTGCGATCTTGAAGATCGACTTGTCAAAGCATAGAATTTCCAGTCCCCGTTTAATTAAAAAACCTGCACTTCTGTAGAGATTCGATGGACATCGTCTAGCTAGCACCTTTGGCGTTCCAAATTGAATCTACGTTCATTTTCATAATAGAGTACTTGTCAGAGGGACTGCCACTGCAGGTCACTCTTCCTCAAAACTGTACGCTGCCTCAAGGCAGGGACAGTTTCCATTCACCTTTGATTTTCCCCTGCGCAAAAGTATCAATAAATGATTAAGTGGTTACACCACTCACTCCAATCCTTACATTTTCTATAGATTCTAAAGCAGGAATGTAGGAACCGGGCGGTGGGGAGGAAAGATACCAAATAAAAGTGAACGACTTAGTAGTCCAAGCTGAGGCACATTTGCAAGACAGTGATAATGTTGAGAATCAATTTGTTAATCAAATCTTTTTGGTTTTAGGGCTATCATGGGCAGGAAGTGGAAATGATCGACATTCTCCGGCCTTTTAAGCCAATAAGTGGATACATCTCTTTTGGATATATTTTGCTTTCTTTTCTCCTTTCTTTCTTTTTATATATTACGTGTGGTGTAAGGCATTATACTTGAAAATATGCCTTGCTGGCCTTTGATACCTTAGATGTTTTGGATTTACTGGTGGCTAATCTCATAGTTCTTATTTTTTATATTTTCACTGGCATCTGACGATAACATACATTGGAGAAATCTGGTTTAGATACCTAAAATACCTCACTTGGGAACATGAGCTACAAATACTAATACCCATTAGCTACCTTAATTGTTGGTTTTTAGCTCTCAATGACACTTTTGTATCTTTGTTCCTTAGTCTTTGAGTGTACTCCACAGACTCTTCTCTTCGTAAATATTTGAAGAACCTGTGTCGTTAATAGGTAATATCAGCACACACATGCTGTATTATTATTTAGCTGATAATTGTTTTCATAAAGGGCTCATGTTGTGCCCACTCATACAATAGCAGTTAAACATTGCCATCACGGATGCATTACAAAACATTCATTCTGGACAACATACTGTCTAGAGTGTTTTCTACTAATACTAGAAATCTCTAGATACCTCATCACTATCATTGTTCCTGAATTTCTGTAGACCAGTTGTAAGGAAGATATGCCTTTTGTCTAACTTTAGACTAATAAAAAATATTTTAGTCTGAACTTTACGCTTAAGCACTTGAATTTTTGTTCTACTTCTATTTTGTTCAAGTGCCAAGTATCCATTCTTTTCAGGCTGTAAATAAAATATGGTTCAGAAGACCATCTCTATTTACAGCGCCAGGAAAAAATGCTGTTAAACTTTTAACTCTAGATAACCTTATTGTTTTGTTTTAGCAATTTTACCTCCGTTGTGATTTTTAATGAAGTCCTTATTGCTGTCTTTTTTTTGTCTTGACCTACTTTCAAGAGCTTTCATATACAATGTGTATCAGTGTTGGTGATTTCTGTAATGTGTAGGAGAGTCTTAAATCGCGGTGGAACAGATTAGCTGGCTATCATTTATTCCAGAAATGTCTTCGTGGTTTCAGATCACCTGGTTTCAACGTCCACAGTTTCACAGTATGAAATCTTTTAAGCTCCGCTTTTCATGGGTTTGCTCCGTTCTCCAGACTGAGGACTGACTGGACCTCATTCTGCTGTGATCCAACTGTTATTTTTCTTTGTTGCCTCCACCCTCGAGAGATTGTATTTCCGAGGGAGAGGCGTTCTTGGGGCTGCAGAGCAGAGTGGGACGAGATCCGGTGCCTCAGGCAGCAGGAGGAGATCTCTCCTCCCCATCCCGTGAGAAGTTGGGGGCAGGTTTGACAGTTCGGCGTCTCGCTTCGGCTCTCGGGCTTGTGGTCCATGGGTAGGTTTTACCTGCTCCCACGTCCCCTGCCTCTGGCCTGCCTTCGGGCCAGTCGCAAATGCAGCCCTTACCCCACCCCGCCCAGAGCGCCCCCTCACCCGTCCTCCTGGGGAGCTGGGACAAGTGTCCGCAGCAGACTTCGGGGACTGGGGAGAGCCACGCCGGGATCCGGACGCTCGAAAGGGCAGCCCCTCCCTAGGCTTTTCCCCGCGTCGCGGCGCCCACGTGACCGAGAACAGGCCTCCGCCGGCCCGCCCCTTTCGTCCGCTGCTGCCCACTTCCCGCTCGCGGTAAGCAAGCCGCGGCTTTCCGCACCGCCCAGCCCCGCCCTCCTGCTTTCCCCTTCCCCTCACCTCCCTCCGGCGGCCTCGCGCCACCCTGCCCGCCCCCGTCCTCCCCGCCGGGCCCTTTGTACGTGCTCGGCGGCGTGCGAGCGCGCCCGGCACGTGACCCCGCCGAACGTGGCATTGTGTTATCACGTGACCCAGGTGCGTACGCGACGGAGCGGGGTGTGAAGATGGCGGACGAGGAGGCCGAGCAGGAGAGGTTGAGTCGCGGCGGAGGCGGCTGCGTCGCGGAGCTGCAGCGCCTGGGCGAGCGGCTCCAGGAGCTGGAGCGGCAGCTGCGGGAGAGCCGGGTGCCGGCCGTGGAGGCGGCCGCGGACTACTGTCAGCAGCTGTGCCAGGTGAGGGCGCCTGGGGTCCCCTCCCCCTTTCCCGCTGCTGGCGGGGGGACGAGGGCGAGCGAGCGCCTGGCGGCCGAGCGGTGGTCGGCGCTGCCTTGGCATCGTCGGCGCCGCCGCCCGGGCGGGAGCGGGGAGTACCAGGAAGGCGCCTTTGTGTGGCTGCCGTTGTGGCGATTGTTGTCGGCTGCTCCCGGCTGGGGGAAGGGAGTTGTGGTCAGGATGGAAACCCCCCCTCCCCTCTCCTTCCCCGAACTCGGGACTGCGCGGTCCCCGAGACCGAGAGATGCAGACGGCGAGGTCTGCAGCCCTCGCCGCTGTGGACGCGGGTAAGCCGGGAATGGAGGCCAGGTTCGCTTCCTCCTCTTATTGTGCACCGGGGATTACCGCGCCCCGCGCCTCTGCGCCCCTGCGCCCCTGCTCCCCACTCCGACGGGCCTGCGCCCCCACTGGTTTGATTGCTTTGCCTCCGCTGGCTTGCTTTCATCTGTCCCGCCCCCCGGTCCCGTTCTCGCTGTCTCCCGGCCTTTGTTGTTCGAGTTTCGCTTTAGGACTGAAGGGGCCTTTGTTGATGTTCCGAGGAGCAGTCCCCGCCGACCCCTTCCAGCCGGCGAGACGTTCGGGGGTAGGGGGGCGGGGGTCGTCCCCTCCTGCCTTTACTTGCTAGGAGCCCCGCTTCCTTGGTAAAGGCTGCTCTCCTCGGCGGAGGGAAACCGTGTGTGTACCCTCGGGTCGAGTGTCTACGGGGTGGCTTCCCCAGAGCCCCTTCTCTTTTGCTTTCGCCCGTGGAGGAGTGTGTGTTCCTGCCTGCCCTCCCTCCCCGGTCTGCCCACCGCTCTATTACTTGGAGCCATCCCTGTTTGGCCTCCCGGTGGAACGGAGGTTATGTGGAGCCGTGCTCAGGTCAGTTTCAGGCCTTACCCTCCTTTTTTTTGCAACAAGAACACTGCTTTCCAGTAACTGCGTTCTAACAGAATTTGGAATGTTAACAGCACTGTTTGCTTGATAGAAATCGGGGAGTTTGTGTCTACGTTTGGACTTGATTACATACCCTCCAGTTCAGTTTGAAATGTCAAGGTGCTGCTGCTGGCTATGGTGAAGATTTTGGTTAGATTCTCTTCTTGAGGAAGCAAAAGAGTTTCTAGGGGTCGCATTTCGAGTTAGCTTGTGAACATATTATAGAGAAGTTGTTTAGGAAAGATACTGAACTTAAGGTGAAACAATGATGGGCCTTTTTAGCATATCAGAGTCGATCACATTTTCACTTAATTTTTAGCCTCCACGCTCTGAAATCTTTACAAGATCAGGGATACTTGATCCCATGCTCAAAATTCTCCATTGTTATTTGCACCTTATTGTCACACATTATTTGATAGTAGTTTGTTTTCTTGAAACAAGCAAACCAAAAACAAATTTGTGAGACCGCAAGGTGACTTTCTGGGAATAAATGCAATGTGAAAGCCACCCACTTAAAAGGTAATATAGGTCTGGTGAATACCTTTGCCATAATTAGAGATTATGTCATTCCTTTGAATCTTAGGTTTATAGAACTGTTGAAATTTACTAATCTCACTATCCTGACTGTAACCACTCATTCCTAATTGGCCTTGTAGATATTAAAGTTTATCTTAGATTTTGTTTTTAAAGCCACAAAACTTTAGTAAGAAATGCATAAAAGGAGCTCTTTCATTTGTAAGTGAAGTTAGCTTTTTAGTCAGTGAAAAGTGTATCTTTGCTGAAAGACATTTTTCAGGTAGCAGTTTCCACTAATGGATTTAAGGCTGATTACTGTAAATACTCTTGGACAGCTGTAATTATAAGCAGAATTAATAATTCTGGGAAAGTGAAGTCTCATACAAGTTGGTCTTCATCTGGAGGCTGTGCAACATAGATAGTTGTCACTTTAAAATGGTTTTTAATGCCTGAAAGCAGTCTTCCTTTTTGTCAGCATGAAAGAAACTTCCTGTATCAGTTTTTAAGTGTTTAGTCTTACAACATATACATTGTTTTTACTGACCAGTGCTACTTGAAATAGTAATAAAACAAATGCTGGGTTTGTGATTTTCAAAAATGATTAAGTATTGCAGGCACTAAAATCCCACAATAATGTAACTGCATTTAAAAGTGATCTCCATTATTGAATATGAGGGTGTATCTGATGTTTCAGATCTGCTACAGAACATTTTCTGTATGTGTGTGTATATTTGGTTACCTTTTGGTTTTGCTAGATGGGAGATAACTGGAAACAATTGTTTCTTTAAAATTGTATCATAGCCATTGTTACTTAACGTTTCAGATAGGAATTGAGCAGAGCAATGGTTAACAATTACAGGATTTATTAGAGCGGTCTAAAAACAGTGCTAGAAATACTAGGAGCTAGAAATTGCATCTACCTTTATTGTTTAGCTTTGATATCTGAGGTTTCCTTGTAAAACAGGGATATTCACACACTTGAGGAAGGCAAAGATGAGTAAATATTTGTCAGAGTTAGTGTGCTTCAGAGTTAGCATTCTGTGAGTGTTGATGCTTGGTGCTTGTGGAACCCTCACTGTTGCATGGATTTTAAAATATGACTTAGTTTATATCCTGAATTTTTTATCTTAAGAAAAGGTGAGTTTCTGGAGAATGTAGTGAAACCGATGGAAATAAAGTTGCTTTCTCTTTTCTGTTACAGATTTTTCTTTCCTTTTGAATGAGGTTTAGGAGAGGAACAGATTTCTTTCTGAGATGTAAAATAGAAATGAGAAATGTTTACGTTTTTCCTATTGTTAACAGTATTGCTTTGCTCTTTATATTGGCTTGCTTCCTGGAAGCATGACCTGCTTTTATATGAGCATTTGCTTTAAGTACTTTTATTTTAAAAGTAAAAGGAGGGGAAGGTGGTAGATATGGGCACAAGGGAGTGTCTGTAAAGAAAAATCTTAGGTTTCTTTACATCTTTATAAGCTAGTTGTAATCTGGATAATGCTTACTTGTTTAAAAACCAAATTAGAATAAAAATATCTGTATCATTATCATATATAAAAACTGACTGTATTTGGGACTTGGGACTTTCTTGTATTAGACCAGACCAGCGTTCACTCACGAATTCAACATTGTTACTGAACACCTGCACGGGGACCAGGCGGCCGTGAGCGCGGTCCTTGGCCACAAGGATTCTACAGCCTTTGGAGAAAGACAAATAATTGCAGCAAAGTGTGATTTATATCTTTTATACAGAACACTGTTTATTTGGAAGTTTTAGCAGAGGCATTCCAGTAGAAGAATTGTTCTGAAAGGATTTTAAAATGATTGTTCATTTAAAAACTTATGGTATTGTAGTAGTTGAAGAATGAGTTGTTGGAGCGTGGTGTTTGTTGACAGCATTATATACCTGACTGGATGACTGCTTGATGAATGAGTGATGACTGGGTTTTGGTTATTACCAAAACTGATAACCACTTTATTTATTTTTTTAAAGATTTTATTTATTTGGCTGCGCAGGGTTCAGTTGTGACATGAGATCTTCAATCTTCGTTGCTACATGTGGGGTACTTAGTTGTGGCACGCAGGATCTAGTTCTTGAATTAGGAGTGTGGAATCTTAGCCAGCGGACCACCAGGGAAGTCCCTAATAATTACTTTAAAAGGTGAAATTGCTGTTGTGGAAATTCATTTGCATATCATACACACACACATCTCATACCTTTGTTCATACCATAATTCATATAAGCAGTGCTGCTCAGCTAGGCGCAGTGCTTTTTCCCACTGTGTTTCTCTATTCAAGGACATTTGGAAATATGCGGGGTCAGTTGTTTGCTTACTGCAGTGACTGGGGTTGTGATAAGTGGCATTTAGTGCTCATGGGCCAAGGATGCTACATTTTCTGAAGTCACCAGGACAGTTGCACACCGCTGAAATGTACCCCTCTGCCTAAAGACCCACAGTACCCTTTTGAGAAACAGTGGCAAGGAAGAAGAGGGATGCATTACAGTTTTTGACTGTTCCGCCCTTCTTATGTTAATACAGGTATACTGGGCTTCCCTGCTGGCTCAGACAATGAGCCGCCCGCAGGCTGGAGACCTGGGTTTGACCCCTGGGCTGGGAAGAGCCCCTGGAGGAGGGCAGGGCAACCTGCTCCAGTAGTCTTGCCTGGAGGATCCCGCATGGACAGAGGAGCCTGACAGGCTGCAGTCCATGGGGTCGCAGAGTCAGATATGACTGAGCAACTAGGCACAGAGGTGTATTAGGAAATGTAGTTAATCTGGAACAGATCCAGGCCAGTGCTTTCTGACCATTGTGTAAATGCACACGGAGCTTCAGTGCACAGTGAACTTAAGCATTTCTACTTTCTTAGCAGAAATTACCAGCAATTACTTAAACAATTACTCAAACAATTCACTTTTACTAGGTTAAAAAGGGTGGCAAATTCAGCATACTTAGTTGACCTGATTAAAGCAGAGATTTGTTGACCTTTTGATGTCACTGAAATTCTGTGCTTGTAAGAAGATACAGGAGACTAGTAAGAAGTAAATAAGATTTAAACATCACTTTAGGTACATGCTTGGCCGTCCAGTGGTTGGACCCGTGCTCCCACTGCAGGGGGCGTGAGAGTCAATCCCTGGTCTCACAGGTGAGCTAGGATCTCATATGCCAAGTGGCAAAGCATCGTTCCCTCCCCACCCCCCAAAAAAGAAAAGATTGAAATGTCACTTCAAGATGACAGTTTGAAGAGAGTCAAAGGCTGTGTATCACTAACATACTTGCTTTATTTTTTATTCTCTTTTTAAATTGAAAATGTGGTATGTTCAAATGATTTTTTTAAAGACAAACACTGAAAACTTGATCTCCTTCTCACCCTAGGTGTCCAGTCACCTTCCACAAAGACAGTCCCTTAATAGTATTTTATGGATCTTTCCAGAAATGCCGTTTACTCTCTTAAGAAAATTTTTTAAAATGAGGGCATAGTGTATAGTGCATCTTTGTTTCCCCCCCCAAAAAAGGTATCTGAGGGCATTTTGTAGC